CTAATTGATCCAACTGTTGCTTATAGAATAGCTGCTTCTGCAGCATCTCGTCTCTTTTCCCATTCGAAAACTGTGCTTCCTTTTGGTTCATCTAAACGTCAAGAGAAGAACGAAGCATCTCTAATAGCTACTGCTGATTCGGTTACAGCAGTCGTGGCAGCGAAAGAGGAAGCTAAGCAGGCGGTTGCGGATGATCTGAAATCTAATCGTATACCGCCTTGTGAGTGGTTTGTATGCGACGATGATAAAAGTGGTACAAGGTTCTTCTTTATCCAAGGATCAGATTCATTGGCCTCATGGCAAGCTAATCTTCTGTTTGAGCCAGTCCCGTTTGAAGAGCTTGATGTACCTGTTCACAGAGGGATATACGAAGCTGCGAAAGGAATATACGAACAGATGGTACCTGAAGTTCACGCCCATCTCAATTCCCGTGGCAAGAACCGTGCTTTTCTTCGGTTTAGCGGACATTCTCTAGGTGGAAGCTTGTCATTGTTAGTGAACCTCATGCTTCTGATCAGAGGTCAAGTCCCGGCTTCTTCTCTGCTTCCGGTGATCACTTTTGGTTCACCTTGCATAATGTGCGGAGGCGATAAACTTCTTCAGAAACTCGGATTGCCTAAAAGTCATCTTCTTGGAATCTCAATGCATAGAGACATTGTTCCACGAGCATTCTCCTGCAGTTACCCCAATCGAGCCGCAACGCTTCTCAAGGCATTGAATAGAAATTTCAGGAACCATCCTTGTCTGAATAACCAGGTAATGAATGTAAAAGACATCTTAAGCTGTGTTTATCTTCAGATCCTTGTTTCTTGGCTTACTCTGTTTGCCTTTTTTCTGCAGAATTTATTGTATTCTCCAATGGGAAAGCTTCTAATTCTGCAACCATCCGACAGATTCTCTCCTGCACACCCTCTGCTTCCTCCAGGAAGTGGTCTCTATGTCTTAACATCTACGAATACCGACGAAACAGAAAAAGGACTATGGGCTGCAAAGAGAGTTTTCTTCAATTCACCACACCCTTTAGAGATACTCAGCGATCGTAGCTCTTATGGTTCTGAAGGAAAAATCAAAAGAAACCATGACATGAGCTCTTACCTGAAAGCCTTGAGGCATGTGATCCGGAAGGAGCTGAAGCAGATAAAGACAGAGCGGGATAAATGGCAGGTCAAGTTCTTTGTCATAAGCATTTTCTGTACTGGGAGAGATTCCCTGAAACTCATAACTAGATTTGTTGCAAGGAGTAGTCAATTAGTGATCATCTTCTTTCTCCCACTTAGATTGTTAATTATGAGTGTCTCTGGTGTAATATTTCACCATTCACAAGCACATTTTAGTTTCTTCAAGTGAAGCATAGGCCTCCTAGTCTGTAATAGAATCTATCACACATCATTCATTCTCATAGAAGAAGAAACTATCTCGTATATAAGAGAAGAAAGCGATATTGTAGCAAATTCTTTCATGATTTCAGTGAAATACATTGAGAATCTTCTCGTGTTGATATAATCTTACAAAGAGGTTGCCAAATAGAATGCAAGAGACATTATTCATTAAGGAGGGCATAAAAGCTCAGACCTTTGTGACTTAGAGATCCATCTTCCCTGCTAGATACCAAGAATGCATAGCAAGGCTTCCAAATGAAAAGATGTTAGCGAGCGACGATAACCCGTGAATCATTCCAAACTTCTTGTTCATGGCAGCTAGCTTTGGGATAGTCTTTGCCTTTTCTCTGTTCTTGGACCAACCAACTTCATCTCCAATGTTGTTTTCCCTCTCTACTTTGTGCCTTTGCTTCATCATCTACACACCAAAGTAAGAGACCATTTGGTTTATATGAATCTTGTTATGTATTGTTCAACGCATTTGGAGGAATGTACAACACTTACATCGATGGTCATGGGAGTGAAGACAAGCAAATTGGTGAGATTGAAAGCAAAAGCAGATAGGAGAAACCCTAACTGATACTTCTCCGTAGAAGAAGATGACTTCCATGGCTGCAAATACCCAAAAGCAGAGAGCGAAATTGCGCAACAAGAACCAACCAAAGTGAAATAAGCTGGAAACATCTTGCTCTGAAGATTACCAAACTGATGCCTCGGCAAATTCCTT